GGTGCTTCTAAACAACTGCCTTCATGAACTAGTATCTCATGGTTATATGTAGCTTTTCCAGCTTCTTTCATTCAATTATTTTAGAATCCATTTTGCCATAAGAACTGCAAGCCATTATTGGTGAGCTTATTCTCCATGAATAGGTCTAATCCTTTTTTTTTCAAACTACGTATTTAAATGAGTGACTGCTGCTATATACATCAGGATAGCAAATTCCATACATGTATGGATTTTTCATTATGAAAAAAACTCGATGCATCTTTGTTGATGTGACATAAATATCACCAAAAAAAGTCTGAAAAACTATAGGAAGAGTTTGGATCACCACAAAAACCATATGAATGGCTGAAATTTGTTTCGTGCAATAACAGTAGAAAACTATGCATGTCCACTCAGAAGAAAGTCCCACTGAGTTCAATGGGGCTTATTTACAGAAGCATAGAGATTGCAATCTAACACCACAGTAGGGCAAAACAAAACATGGAAAGCTACTTTGAACAAGAATGAATATAATGATGTGCTGAAGCTGTCCATGGCTGAGCAACGGTAAGATGATGCTCTGGGGAAAACTAGACCGAATATACAGTATGTCATCCACGTAACTCAGACAATGTGGTGAAGATATTTAGTGCCAGATTGGTTGTTTGGGACTTTTTCCATGCAAATAATACAAATCAGCCAGTGACGTTCCATGCAGATAGGATCAGACGAATGTGCCAAGCTCCCTGTTTTACTTTGATGTGGTTCCAATAAGATATCCAGGAGTCACTTTTCTGTTTTCTTAAAGTGTAACGTGTTTTTTTCTTTCAGACTGTGTGTCTAAGACATTAATCATATCCCAGATTTGACTTCTGTATCTAAAGGAATGGTTCTTGTAACATGATTTTTAAAAACAACAACAAAAAAGCCCCATTGTCATGCTCTCCCAGAGTTGGATCTAAATTTGGATCATAGGATAATCCACAAAACCGCTCCCATTCAGAACTGCCCTGCTGGAATCAGCATGTCTTTATAAAATACCACAACAACCATTGAGTGATTTCAATGCCATAGATAAATCAGTTTACTTAAAAAAAAAAAAAAAACCAAGCTCATCATTGCTACTCAAACCCATGACCCCGTTCAGAGTTGAATTCTGCTGCTAGAACTACAGCATTACGACTTCACAGAATGTCACACTTCTTCTGCCTCACAGTATCTAGGGGGTCACAGTGTTCCCATTTTAACTTAAAACACACAAACACACACACACACACAGGAGTGCCTCATGTGACAACTCCCGTGTAATCAACAGAAGTAGCCTTCAAGCACAGTGTTGCATATATTCAAATGAGCAAGGACCAAGTGTTCCATACTCATAAATCTTTACTGTTCTTCTTTCTACATTTCCAAGATTGCCACATGCTATATTTCTTAATAAGCATGTTCGATGCAGAAATAGACATGAATCTGACAGACAGTGCCATCCTATGCCCTTTCACTCAGAAGTCAGGCTAACTATATTATGCCTAAAGCTGAAGTAAAGTGCACATTTTCCTAGAAGTAAGCCCCCCCCCTGAATTCAGTGGAACCTACTCCCAGGTAAACAAAATTAGGGTAAGTTGCAGAATCGCCCAAAGTGTGTGGTCATCTTGTCCACTGACTATGAACTGGATCACAAATCCATTCTCCCCCATGTCTTTTCCTACTTAAGATGTACACTTTTTTTGCAGGCCAGAATCCTTTTGGGTAAGCCAGCAGTCACACAGCAGATTTATTTATTTATATATTTATTGTATTTATACCCCGCCTATCTGGTCAAACAATCACTCTAGATGTATGCAGTCTTCCCAGCCGCCCATCACACACTCAGTCATGTCTATGTTGTGCATTGTTCATGCGCCCAGGCTTGTGATGGATCACCAAAAAATGGATAAGCCATTTGTGTGGTCACCCTTAATTTCAAACAATTGCCTTTACATAGTGAAATGAAGTAAGGGTTTGACCCGTCTCTTCCTCTTTTTAGTCCTCCCCAAACCACTCTCTCAGTTTCCAACCAGTTTGGTCTTGTCTTATCTTATTTTACTTTAAATATTTTTCAGTACCTTTTTCTGTTCACCAGGGCTCCCAAGGTAATTAGGACACAACAACTTAGAATAATTAAGAACAGATTTAAAACACTCACATTAAAAATGTTCAAAAACACATTTAATTTCCCCCCCCAAAAAAAACTGATTTCTTTTAAAAACAGATCCAAAAGATCCTTCAGAGGCCAGCTTTAGGAAAACAGGTACTTGAGGCTCTTTAGAACAACCTATGTTTTGTGTACCTACATAGGTTGTTTTGCCCCTCAAATATGGGACAATTATGCCAGTTGCCCAAAGGTAGAGTGAGCTTGCTTTAGTTCTACAAAAATTCCCAGACAGCTTCCAGAATTTAGGAACTTTGCCTAAGTTCACCAGGCACAGACTGTACTAAACAGTTTGGAAATTGAAGCATTTTAGATGCTTGTTTTAATTTTCCTCTTTCCTTGTCCATAGATGTCTTTTGCTGTATCTTGAGTCAGGACATGAACATTTTATAACTCAAGATCTACTGGGTGCTCAAGGGTGGCATGGGGGAGGGCCTCCAAATAATAGTGGGCACTCCATTCTAGGAGCCCAATTTGAAAATTACAGCTTCCATGTGCCATGCAGGCTGTGATAACATGCTCTCAACATGCTACAAAATTCTTATAAGGCACAATTGCATGAATATACAGTATTAGAAACGGATGGTTCCATCTCCTTTCTTGTTTGTTTCAGTTCGAACATAAGTTAGTTTTCTCTCTATTACTTGGGGTCTTCAGCCTATTAGATATGTGTCCACTAGTAATCAGGATAAAATATTTGCTCTGTTGGAAGATTATGTGATATTTGTATTCTAAGCCTCACCACAGTGGGTTTCTTTAAATAGAAGCTATACTTTACTCCTAAATTGCTTAAGGCAAAGGAAGCAGAGATGATGTTTATGAATGTTTAAATGCAAATGGAACTGAGAGCGAATGCTATGCTAGCTAACATCAAAGGCTCACCAAAGACTCTGCATTAATGAGCCTCTTTGTTTCCTGGATCACAGATTACAACAGGTTTCCAACTCATTGCCAAGGTTTTATCTCCATTTGGGAGGGCTGTAAATCTCAGACGACTCTCTCTCTTTTTTTTTTCAGATGCAAACCAAGAGAATCATCCGAAAACGAGGGGGAGGAAGAAAAAGTAAAAAATAGGAAATATGTTTGATTCTCCTCTCCCCTCCTCTTCACACACACACACACACACACACACACACACACAGAGAGAGAGAGAGAGAGAGAGAGAGAGAGAGAGAGAGAGTGACCGTTGAGAATGATCCTGAGTAAAACAGCAAGGACGTTTGCACATGTGAAAGGGGATCGTCCTGTTGAATGGAGGAACGGGCTCCCGTTTCGAATTCTTACAGTGCTTCTGGGCTGGCCTTGTGAACGGAGGCGATCCTCCGCCCCAGAAGCCCAGAGGAAACGCTAACGTCGCTTTTCCTGGGTGATCAAAAGGGCGCCAATGGCTGAGGTGTAAGGGAGAACGCTGGTCTTCACCCTGATCTCTCTTCCCTAAAGCAACTTAAAACAGAATAAATAGATATCGTGTTCACTGCAAGAACACATGACTCCCTCGAAAATATTTACTTTTTAAAAAGCGTTTCAAAATATCGGTCTTTTACACAGCTGCCAACAAATAAACCGGTTTCCCTCTTCCCACCCCCTCCATCATATAGCACGATCTTTTGACGGAGTGAAAACGCTAGAGATTATCCAGGTGAGCAAAGGGAGATTTACCGGCTGAGGGTTCAGAAGACACGCCGCCCCCCGGAGTCATTCCGCTCTAAGTATGAGGCGCGTCCAATGTGGGTATTTGTGCAAGTAGGTGTGTGGCGGAAGCAAGACTTCGGCCTAGGATCGTTTCTCGAAATTCCGCCCGGTCCCCAGTCCCCCGATCGTCCGATCCCACCCAGAAGTGATCAAAGAGAAGCCGGGACCTTGAGCAGTCTGAAATGTTGTGCGTGCGGTCTAGCACCCTTCACCCCCACCCCCATTTCTCAAAGATTCCCCTCAGTCGGTATTAAAGATTCTGGAAACGGGCCGAAAAGCTAGTAGACGTGGGCTCTTCGTATTCGTACCTTCAGGAATACGAATAGGAATCGCCCATGCCAACTTGAGAGCTATCGGATCTCCAGCCGTCGTGCAGACAAGCACAAGTCTTAAGCAGTCTTTCCTCCCCGCCACCCAGCCAGTATTTTGCCACTTTTTGGCTGGCGAGGAGACCTCGAGATCTCAACAGCTCGCCCACAGGCCGACACCCGTTCGGAGGGACGGATAAAGGGGTCCCCCTCCTACAGATTCTCTCTGCAAAGAGGTTAATGCGGGCAAGTGAGGGGCTGATCATTTCTCTCAACTCCAAGGTTGGGGATCCAGACTCAGAAAGGATCGGGGCGGCACTTGTGAACTGAAGCTATGGCTTCTAAACAGCAAAGTGAGAAGCCGTTAGAAAGGCTTAGAAGAAATCTGCCCGTGCTTTTTAAATTCATTTTCTTGGGGGGGGCAGGCAAGACGGACAGGCTGGCAGATGCTTTCCCACGAGCAGCCTCTGTAGCCGGGCTTGTTGGGCCCAGATTCAGTGGGTCATCTTGCTATCGGGAACCAAAAAAAGGCCAGGTGAGGTGGGGGGGAAGAGTCCAACAAAGCCTGTACTTGCATGTAGTCCGAGGTTGTTACTCCGGAGTAAGTCACCTACCTCTCCTCCCGCCCCCGCACTCCTAAATTCAGAGAGGAAGAACACGTGCGTCCCGCTACACTTGGAACAGCATGAATCGAAGTTAGTGCTTCATGTTGTTTGAAAAGTTTGCGCTTATATAGCCTGAAAATCCGGGTTTGGCTTTTAAAATTGCGGCTGCTTATTTATGAGGAAAACGTAAAGCAGCAGGACCACACGGAAGGCAGGTAAAGTTCCTGACGCTAAAGCTGTTTCCTGTCGGAGGCTACTTCGGTGCGACTGAAATTTCCGCGACTTCCAAATATTGTTCCGGATTTCTTTCCGCGACCGACGTAGTCCCGGAGAAGGTATGGGAAGGTGCTTCGTGCCAACGGAGCCCTTTTGAACTTACAACGCACACCAGAAACAGGACTCTGATCTAATACCCGTGTTGCTTAGTTTCAAGTGTTCACGTCTGATCTGTTGATCGTACAAATAAATTATATATACTTTCAAGTGTTTCGATGACAATTGCCCTCTCCCGTAAGTGGGCTTGCTGGCTGGCTTGCTTGCTTGCTTGTATACCGCCTTTTCTCTGTATATAACGGACTCAAGGCGGTTAAACAGATCCCACGCGACGCGTTCCTAGCCTTGTTTATTCAGAGGTAAATCCTCCGCCATGCTCAGTTTATTCAGGATTGCAGTCCTGAGGCAGGGAAGGTTAGAAAGCGGTGGTGGGGGGAGTCCAGCTGTTGGGCAGGATGCCCGAAATGAAACGGGGGAAGAAGAAGAAAAGATCGGCGCGGTGCTGTACGAGGTTTAACCGTGATAGCCGGGGTGCGGGGTTGCCCGCCCTGCAGCCACCTCGTTTAAAGCTCCCGCTGGTTTATTCCTCAAAAGAAGTTCAAGGGAACTTGACAGCCTCAGCCGTTGTGCGTCTGATTGCAGCCTCTGACTTTTGCCGCCCTCACCAAACTCGTGTGTGGAGCAAGGGGAAAAAAGTGTGTGCGTATGCACGTCTGCCGGTGTGCATCTATTCATGTGCACCGAAAGAAAGATCATGGAAGATGTTTTTGTTTGTTTGTTTTTGTTTGGTTTGGTCTCATCAAGATCTCACTCTTCTTTCCGTTGCTGCAAAATTTCGGGAAGGGTTTTTTCTCCTGAGCCAACTTCTCCCTTGCCCCTTCCCTCCCCCGCCCCCGCCCTGCGAAGAGCGAGAGAGTCGTAATTGCCCGTAATGGACATCCCTCCGGGCGGCGGAGCAGAGCGCGGTCTCTTTAAGGCCGGAGCGCGTCGCGAGGGAACGAGTCCTCCAACCCCTCCCCGCCGCTGTCAATCAGCCGGCGGCAGCTTTGATGTCGAAAGCCTTTGGCGGCGGCGGCGGCGGCTCTCTGGTGCTCTCCTTCCCCGGCTCGCGCGCTTCCAGGCGCTGCTCGCTCAGGCGCTCCGTGCCTTTCCCAGCCCGCAGAGCCTTCCGGCGCGGCGGCGGCGGCTTTTCCTTCTCTCTTCCCCCCCCCCGCCGCCCCTCCTCACCCAGGCTGGGCTGGCTGGTTAACTGCTAACTTAAGAGCCAAACTTTCCG